TATACATTAAAGCCTTCTTTCTCTACAAAACGCCCAAGGTTCGAAGGGACCCAACCTCCTGATAGCACAGAATCCTCTACAGAAAGGATAGGGGAAAATCCAGTTAGATTATTGATGGTGCTTTTAAGTTAACCATGTGGGTTGAGCAACCTTCTTGTAGAGCTGATTTAGCTCGGTTCTTGGCATGGTGCCTAGAGTTGGCACTAGCTTTTTGTAGTCCCAAGGTTTTTGCAGGTGATTGCTTTTTGTAGACACTGGGGTTGGTCCCTAGTGATTTGTAACTACGCAGAGGGGGGTCCAACCCCTCCCCCTAATTCAAACGAGTATCTAGATATTATGTATATGATACGTATATATATATATATTTTTAAATATATATATATTATGATTATAGACCATATATTTCCACATATGTTTTTCATAGACATATATCTATACACAATATGCCATAGGCATCCATATGAAAAGCATTGGGCTATGGCGGTTTCCAACATAGAAACCGCCGTGAGTTGGGCAAAGTTCGCCACCTGGTGATGTAAGAAATGATGGGCACTCGAAAGCTTGAAAATTGCAAACCTTGACGACATTGAGCTGCCCAAAAAATTGCACATGGACATATGACATATGGGGGAAGACCTCGGTTTGGGATGAGTTCCCAAGCATTCTTTGTTTAATGGGAAAATTAACGACCTAGACCCAGCTATACAAGGTGCTACTCCCCAGTGATCTATAAGTTGGTTTATAGTCCCCACTAGTTCGATATAACCCCCATTCGTCAAGCCTAGTGAAATTGGAGTTATTAGTTCACCAACTTAGCTACCCTCTGGAAATGACAAACAGCTTGCTATTGAACATATCCCATTTATAGTTGATTTACCTATTCTTAAAATGGTGATTTTTTTATAGTTCACCAACTTAGCTAACTATGGGGCACCACCTTGTAGATACTGTACACCCGGGATTTGTGCCTGGGTATGGTGAGCAAGCAGCAACTGGACGATAACCCTGGCATGTTCGGAGGGTTGAAGCAGTTTGCTAAACTCAACTAACATGTTAGAGAATGTGTTGTTGTATGTTGTTGTTTTATGTTAAGTTATAATATATATATATAATATATATGACAATATGATATTTAAATATATTTAATATTAATTGGATATAATATAATGAATTTATAGAGATACTCTATGATCAACCTAGCAGTTTGCGAACTGGAAAACCACCATTCAAAAGACAGTTAATTAGATATTTGTTACACAAGGATAAAGGGTCATGTCTTCCATAGGAAACTGTTACTTTAGTAGAGGCTACTGAGACGTATTTGATCAACCCGCACTTGTTTCCAAAGACTTGGAAGCGCGGGAAACATCCCATTTTTCGGGAGTGTTAAAGGGAAAAGTAACAAACATACAATGTGGTGCCCCCCAGTGATGTTTGTTGGTTTAGATTCGCCCCAGTAACTAGTTCGTTATAAGTACCATAAACCATAGTTACAGTTAAATTGGAGTTATGTTCACCAACTTAGCTATCGAACGGGGGCCTCACATTGTATGCTTTGAAAAACTGAAGCCTTTTTTTCCCGTGATTGGTTCCTCCAACCCTCCATGTCATGAAACAAATGGGCTTCCGCACAGGACGCCATCCCGCAGAAGATATGAGCCGCTGTGAGGAAGTTTACCTCCACTCCTGCGAGTTCACCAATATCCCGAAAATTTTGGAACTAAGATGTGACTTAGCTGAATTCGTGTATTGTAATTTGTTAACATATTCATTAGGGTTTACCCTCTGGTAAACTAACAGTAACTAACATAACTATGGAACATTGTTTTATGGGAAAAATCACTATAAATGGTGATTTTCAATAGCTATGTAACAAATTACCAGAGGGTAATATGCAGATGTTCATTTCAAACTTTGTCGTTGGTCTCATTGGTCATCCCCAAAATAAATGTTCGTCCATCCTGCAGCGACACCGCAAAGTCGGTTCTTCGCACCGAAAGCTGGTGCTGATGGTTGAGGGAATTGGCCCAACCGCAAGAAAATTTCAAATGCCAAGATGGGTGTGTCTAAAAATGGGGTAAACCCCAAAACTTTGCATTTTTTTTTTAGCAACGGTGACAAACCAGTGGCTTTCGGGTTGCCCTAGTTTCTGACAAACCCAAATATGCGGACAGCTGGCTAAAAACACGCCAGCGAGGAAATTGAGCAGGTGGTCAATGTCAGTTTTTAAGGAAATACACAAAAAACACATCCAGGAGATATCAGGAGATCATGTTTTGACACGTTTTGTTGTGATAATGCCAGGGGTACAATTTTCTCCTGGAACCAATGCCAGGCTGTCTCCCCAGGACGGATGATCCCGACTTCCTTGAAATCCTGGCTCACCAGTCGCGAAAAAACAGCCACCTGTTCAACTTCTTTGGGATCACTTGTTGTTCGCCGTGCCACACGACCGGTTGCAAGAAGTCTGGGGTTGAATGTCATGACCATTGAGGTGCAAATTATAGTAGTAAGATGTAGTAAGTAGTATCCAAAGCGACAGCACTTCGTTTCGCACTGGTCTAAGACGATCATTTATACTTGCGTAATTAATCAATTCTTTGGGGTATTGCAACAAGGCACGTTAAATTGACATTAAGCGATTACCCAAAAAATTAAAAAAAATACTATCTGAAAAAATATATCCCATCATTTTTTTGTTTTTTTTCAGGTGCATATAACTGGTTGGTGGTTTCAAACAGGATTTTTATTTTCCACAATATATTGGGGATGTCATCCTTCCCATTGACGAACTCATATTTTTCAAGCTGATTATTGCACCACCAACCAGATGGTTAATGGGTTATTATACTCTGGTAAAAACAAACATAACTATGGAAAATCACAAGTTTTAATGGGTACATCCACTATAAATGTCCTACATGGTTCAGCGTATCCAAAATTCTAGGATTCCAACAAGGAAATTCAGCGAAATTCATGTGGAACTGTCCAGCAAGCCATATTTGATGATCACCGGAGGGTATATCGGTATATCCATTAAAAATGTCCTATGATTGTTCCGTTATTATCCCATTAATCTCCCATGATGTTCTAGAGTTAAACAGTTAAACCATATTAATTCACCATGTTCCTTATTATCCTACCAATCTTCCATGATTTTTCCTATTAATCCATATTAACTCATCATTTTCCACAGTTAACTCCCCTCCGACTCTTTGCCGGTGCTTCTCCCGGGTTTGTTTTGGCCCTGGGATCGGTGCGATGGCAACCCGCCGCGGGTGCGCAGAAAGAAACGCTGTGGTTCCTGCAGTGATGGCCTTTATAAATGGGCCTTAAAGTGGGATGAAATAACTCCTGTAACTATAGTTGGTTATATATTAATTATCTGGTTGGTGGTTTGGAACATGTCTTTTATTTTTCCATAGATTGGGAATGATAATCCCAGCTGACCTTCATATTTTTAAGAGGGGTAGGTCAACCACCAACCAATTAATTATGATTGAAGCCAGTTGTAACTGTCACGGGCTACAATTGTGGGAAGCTTTGGGTGCCCATTTGCCAGATAATGCATGATCATACTTTCGCATGGATCCCATATTAGTTGATACGTATGGCGACTCATGGATTCTTAAGGAAACATACAACATCACAAGACATATCACAGTCATGGCCATTAACAGTCATGAATGGGATTATAATGATATACAACCTCAATTATAGGTAAATTATAGGAGTTATAATCCCATTTCTAACTGTTAAGGGCAATAACTGCACAATCACACAGCCCCTCAGGGTGCCGGTTGGGACACACCCGACACACCCGTGGTGTTTCGTACAAGCCAACCACTGTGGATTTTATAAACGTGTTTCTTTGGACAAGTCTATCGTGCAAGTTTCAAGTTTGCATGACTCCTTTTTTGATGATTGCTGACATTCCTTTGGAATGTCTCCGATGTTTGGTTCTGTCTTTGCGTGTAGGGACATTATAGGACAAAATTGATGATTTGGGTTGAAACCAACCATGAGGTGAATGTGTGGCGCGTGTACTTAATCAGGAAGACTGACCCTAAGTCCACAATTTTGTTTCCTACTTTGTCCTGGAATTTCATGAGTTTTCCCTTGTCAGCCACAAACATATTTTTCCATGTCCATTTTCCATTTCATTGGGGACCCAACGGTGCATCGAAGAAATCCCCCTAGTTTCCCCTACCGGACGCGAGGGTTGGGTCCGATGCCGATGCCGCTTCATCCAAGATGAGGTGCCCAGAAAAACAGCCCCACACCATTCCCGATGGTGCAGGAGATTCGTTTTTGTTGGCTTAGCCTTTAGCATCTTTAGCTGGATAGGTGATTAACTGATTGGTGGTTTGGAACATTATTTTTTCCCATATATTGGGATAATAAGCCCAACTGACTTTCATATTTTTCAGAGGGGTGGCTCAACCACCAACCCGTGATCATTAGGTTTGTGACATTAGATCATTTGTTAAATTTCTTCCCACAAATGGAGGAACGATGATATAAATTGATTAATGATTACCCTCAGGTAAATTAACATAGACCCTGAAAATCGCCCATTTATAGTGGAAACTCATCTTCCAACCCCGATGACTGCCAGGGTCGATGTTAATTTACCAGAGGGTAATGTTTGGTTGTTATTCTCAATGGATTGGTTTAAGGGAACATTTACAGGAAAGTCCTATATTTAATGGGAAAAACCCATAGCTCTGGCCCGATTTCCTTCCAGGGGTGGAGTTGAGTTCCAGCTGATCGCCGGGAGACCGTTTTTCATCTTGATGGGGTCCCCCTTCCTTCGCCGCCCAGGGGGACTTGGGGTGCGTTTCTCTGGGGCATTTCGTGCGATTCAGATGGTTGGTGATTTGCTAGAGGCTTCACTGGTGGGAACGGATTTCACTCTCCTTTTCATTGGTCTCAATCAAGTTGGTACTTTCACTGTTTATGATGCTATCATCCAAGAGTTGGGGCCCTGCATTCTTTCGATGGATGCCCTATCTCGTGTGATCCCATATGAAGGGCCCTATGCTGACTTCTCCGTCAAGGAGGTCTGTGCTGGCATTGGCGGTATCGGCACTGGTGCCCGTGCACTTGGTGCTCAGGTGGTTGCAGTCCTTGACTGCAATGAGCTTGCTTGCTCCCACCTTATCCTCAACTTGGACGGCAATAGCAGTGCTCTTTGTCGAGATCTTTGTGATGATTCGGCAAAAGGAGATTTACACATTGCTGGCGGCCGATCGGCATCCATTTTGACGGCTGGCTTCCCGTGCCAACCACATTCCACACAAGGAAGTAGGGGAGGCTTCAGGGATCCACGTCACAAGGTTTTCATTGAAGTTCTCAGAACGGCCTATCTTCACATGGTAGATTGTCTTGTTCTTGAGTGTACCCCACAAGCTCAGTACGATCATGGGGTTCGGACCGGACTTGACTTGTTAGCTGAAGTGATGGGGTGGCAGATTCATGAAACCACACTTGTTTTGTCACATCAGTGGCCTTGCCGTCGTCACCGTTGGTGGGCCATTCTGTGCCCAGCCGATTGGCACACTACGACACTGACAAAATGGCCAGAAGATCGCAGCCATCAACAGGTTGGCACTGTGGTGACCCGCTGGCGTTGTTGGCCGGAATCCCATGAGTATGACTTGCAGCTTACTGAGACTGAGTATGCGGCGTACAACTCTCCGCATTTTGGCGATGATCAGCGGTTGCTCACTGCTGCAGACATGGCGCCCACCTTTTTGCATTCCTACGGGTGCGCACTTCAGGCGTGCCCTTGTCAGTGCCGTGACATGGCCTTCTCGGAGGAGACATTGCGCACTCGAGGTCTTCGTGGCTGCTATGTGATTTCACAGTTTTTGGCCACACCAAGATTCTTGCACCCCATGGAGTTGGCGGCATTGCTGGGATTTCCAGCCACCATGAGCCATCTTTCCTCCATGAGGGGCATGTTGTGCCTGTTGGGGGCAGTGGCCTCACCACTACAATCATTGTGGGTTTTTGCTTGTCTTCGTTCAATGATGCATGGCTCCAATGCGGCGGACACTCAAGCTTTTGCCCTGCAGGCGCTGCAGGAGTACAAGATCCACTTGCTGCAGGGCTATGATCATTTGTGGGGCTCCACCTCGGCAGTGCCGAGACCTTTGCGGTTGTGCACATCTGACCAGGTGGATATCATCATCATGGTTTGCGGCTTGGTCACTGTGGCTGAGATCCTCTCTGCAGATGCCTTCGCTCATGCCCCTGGGGCGCAACAGAGTCTTTGTGATGGCTCACGCTCTTTGCCCCCAGGCCAATTCTTGTTGCAGCATGGTGCTCATGGACCTTACCACTTGCGCATGATTCACCCTGGACAAGCCGTGACACCGGCACAGGTTGTGGTGGGCATTGAGCATGCTTCTCATTTGCATGTGACATTTTTACCTCTTGGTGGATTTCTTTTTGAGGCTTTGCAGAGCTGTGGCATTTCAGCCGTCCAGTACCTTTTTGATCGACTGGGTCATTGCTATGGATTGGATTATCGGGTGCAAGGTAGTCTTCGCCTGACCACTCAGCCACATCCTGATGATGGGACCACGATGGCATATGGACTTTCATGGCCGGCAGCACTTGGCCTCAATGCGGAGATGGTTTGGTTCTACATGAACAGCCTACTTGCTCGGCATGTAGGGTTGACCAAGTCTTGGTTGGTGCTTCCACCACTTTGTGCCAGTTCTTCTCAACAGTTTCCATTTTTGCATCAGCACTGCTCGATGGAATTCTTTGCTTTGCCTTGTCCCACATTGGTATTGTGCATTTGCGCTGTCGATCAGCACTGGATTCTTTTGACTGGACTTTGGCATGGCTCCGGCCGCATTTGGACTTGCTTTGATGGACTTCAGCCTCTTGCCGGCTCGGCCATGGTGAATTGGGTGAGATCTTTTGCCCGTTCACTGGCGATGACTTTGCAAGAATCATTTGAGGGCCTTCGGTGTGCTTCTTGGATTTGCCAATTTCATTCACACACCTGTGGTTCAGTTGCTCTTGGTCACTTGCTTTGTTTGCTTGGCTGGGTGGGCATTTGGACGCCCCAATTGGAATTGGCCTTTCATCAAAGCCTTCTTGATCAACAAGCTGGGGGCTCCTTCATGGCTTTTGGGCGATCAGCATCCGAACTTGTCGAACAACTGGCTACTCTACTTCTTGACAAGGGAGTTCCAGATGCGGACGTTCAACAACGGGCGCAGGATGTGTTGCAGACCTTGGGTCATGCGGCCGTGACTGAAGCTCTCGGCACCTCTAATCCATGGGCAACCCTCAAAGGTTTGGCATCTCGCCCTTCTACCAGAATGCGATTGGTGAAAGAACATGAACTCAGAGCTCATATCAATCAACAGGCCACCAAGAAACATGGGGCTCACATCCCACGGGCGAAGCAAAAGAAGCAGACCTCGCAGTCTTCATCACTTCCACCAGTGGATCCTGGAACACTTCAATTGGTTCCCAATACTTTCGTGGATGATGATGGGGATGCCATACCTCAAATACCCTTCCATGAGGTCAGCAAGGATGCGCATGGCATTGCTTTTTGCACACATCGGCAAGCACAGCCCTTCATTGATGCCCAGGACAACATTAGCTCCACCACCTTGGGTTTGCTCATCACCACTGAGGTTCCCCTGTCCATTGGGCAAATGACCAATTTGACTTCAATGCGCTTTCCTGCACTATGCTTGGCCACCGATGAGCCATTGCTGATCCAGGGGTCGCTGCTTACTTTGAGTGATGGTGCAATTCATCGACATGAGGTTGACACTCCTGAATTGTCAGTGTACAGCACGGACATTGTGAAGGTTCAGATCCACAAGGATGAGATCAACATGGATTGGCAGCAGGTGGTTCGGGGACCCATTCGTGCGCTTTTGCAACTCTCCCCTTTGTTTCGCCTATGTTCTGGAAAACAATGTGGGGCAGATTGCCCCCTGTATCATCCGCCATTGGATGAAGAGTTGCCTGGCTTGATCTTGGACATTTGGGCTCGCAACTTCTGCAACCTCAACGGCAAGACCACGAAGGCGGACCTTGCTGCCTATTTTCAGGTGCTTCTCCGTATCCCATCTGTGGCTTTGGATCATGTCCTGCGCATCAATGTCCCCGGAGTTTACGTTGAGCCTAGAGCATCGCAGGAGCGGGGTCCTCATCCGGACTACTGCGTCATTTGGCTCCCTGGACTTTCATTGGAGCAGGCCATGCACAAGCTTCGAACTTGTGATCATGGACTTTCTTTGGCCAAAATGAATCATCGCTATGGAGTTCGGGTGCGAGCACTTCATGAGCAAGCCACCCATCAAGCACTCCGTCCTGATGAGGAGTACGTGGCGGTCCAGATCAAGCAGGTCTACACCATTTTCCCCTTGCCACATGGACTTTCCAGACAGCAAGTCAGCAAGTTACTGACGGCATGGGGTTGGCGGGCCAAACCGCTGCAAACCACCAAAGGCACCAATCAAGGACAGGGTTGGTCAGTGGGCTCGGACAATCCTCCTCCGAGCAAAGTTATGCGGGGCTTTGACCGGGATCTTTTGATCACGCTGCAGAAAGATACTTCATCTTCATCTTCCACTGCTTCAGTGGTGGCCTCGCAGCGAACCAAACGTTTTTTGAAGGAAGGGGCTCTTCAGTCCACCAATGAGGATCCGTGGCACAATGGCGCGGATCCATGGGCTAATCATAGACCCACTACGGCTGCCACTCCTTCGACTTCGGCACCAGCGCGTCGTTTGGAACAGTTGCAGGCAGCGATTCGTGAAGAAGTTCAACAGCAAGTCCAGCAAGCTCCTCCTGGCCTTTCACCCAGCCTCACCCCGCCAGACTCGGTCATCCAGCAGCTCCAAGTGAACATCACTGAACTGCAAGCTCAAGGTGGTCAATTCCAACAATGGTTCCATGAAGCTGGACAGCGTATGAGTGCCAATGAACAACAGCTCCAGCATCTTCACACGGTTGTCGAACAACAAGGACAACATGTTGCCAAACAGATTGATATGATCCAGCAGGAAGTCGACAACAAGACTCAAATCCTGCAAAGCTCCCTGCAGGGATCTTTGGCCGCGATGCAACGAGACTTTGATGTATCCTTGGACACCAAGCTCTCCAATCGATTCGATCGTATTGAATCGATGTTGGCCAAGAAGTCCCGCACTGAGGCCTGACTAGGCCTGCCTCGATGCCGGGTTGCAACCACCGGTAGGCGAGCCTTCTTTCCTTGGTTGCTTTGGATTTGTCTCTTCATGCCCTGGGCATGGGCCAATGGATTGCAATTCTCTCACGTGCCGGACACTTGGACTTTCTCTTCTACAGCTGCGATGGACTTCGACACAGCTGGTCCGGGCACTCGCCGCAGTTCCTCCTGCAACTACTGGTCCCAGCTTGGATTTTCAGCTGGTGGATTTCGTTTTGGTGAAGCTGAGCACCCGGGCCCTGGTGGTGCTCCGGATGGCAGCACTTTGGGGTCCCCTGACTCCCTGGATTTTCAGCGCCTGCGGGTTGGTTGCTCAAATCCCTGTGGACTTAGAGGGAAAGAACTTGCTGTCATATCACTGGGCCCAGGCATTTGGACTTTTGCCGAAACCCATCTGACTTTGGTGACTCAAGCTTCAGTGACATCCACTTTGGCCTCTTATGGCAGACTTCAGAATCGCTCCATACGTTCCCTTTTTGGAGCCCCGGTTTCATTCCGGACAAATTCGATCAGTGCAGGAACTTGGTCTGGGGTGGGGGCCATTTCCGACTTTCCTTCTCAAGAACTTTCTGTTCCTTGGCCAGATGGAGAAAGAGATGCTGGAAGGGTCATGCTTTCACGGCATTTTGTTGGTCCCACGCCATTTACTGTGGCTTCCATTTATGGATTTCCTGCGGGTCCCACCTGGCCTCGTAACCGTAGTCTGACTGAGCAACTGCTCACTACGGTGACCAAAGAAGTGGTGCTCGGCACCAGTGGCTGCCGCATCATCCAAGGGGATTTCAACCAACCTGCGGATGGGCTTGATGCCTTTCAGATCTGGCGACACTATGGCTGGGTGGAGGCACAATGTTTGGCAAAGGATCTGTGGGGGCGTCACATCGAAGCCACGTGCAAGAATGCCTCCACGGTGGATCTGATGTGGCTCTCTCCGGAAGCGGCAATGCTTTGTGTTCAAGTGGGCACCATGGATGTTTTTGCGGACCACCTTACGGTCTATCTTGATTTTCAGCTTCCTTTGCGGGCCATGACAATCACCCGCTGGCCTTTGCCTTCCATCATTGATTGGACCCAGGTGGACATGGATCGCTGGCAACATACTTGCGCTGCTGATCATGGTCCTCGTTTTGCTGGGGGTGATCCTGATGTTTTTTTGGCACAATGGGCGCATCATTGGGAATCCACTCTTCATGGTGCCATTCAAGATCAACCAGATGGCCGATTGCCTTCTCGTTGTGCTGGCCGCGCTCAACGGACCAAGCCCTGTCGATCACCTCTACTTCCTCCAACCGCCAAACCCTCGCGGCAGGGAGAAGTTTACCTGCACAACAATCTGGTTTCCATGGCAGTGCATAAGTGGTTCAAACAGTTGAGACGCTTGCAGAGCTACAAACATGCCGCCATTGCCAATAAGCAGACCTTGGATGCGGAATGCTACCGACTTCACCTTTGGCATGCTATCAAACGAGCTTCTGGCTTTAGCTCAACTTTTGCTCAGTGGTGGAACAATCGTCACCACAAGACGCCTGCGGCCCCATCCCAATTGCCACTTGCTCCACCATCGGGGCTTGTTGCGGATGCGATTTTCTTGGACTTCAAGTTGAACTTTGAGCGTTTCGAGCGATGGCATTGCCGACAGAAGGGCAAGCTGCTGCAGGCAAAGTATGACCAGACTTGCAAAGCGCTCTTTAGAGATCTTCGGGATCCTGGACGAGGGCAACTGGACTTTTTGTGGGATACCACTTGTTTTGCGGTGCTTGACTTCAGCTTAGAATCCAAGCAGATCCATCTAGATCATCCATGCACCTCGGGTTCATCTTGCAGATGGTTTCTCAATGGCACGCAGCTGCAGGTGTTGGACGCTGATGGGGATTTGCTCACTTTGGAATCCATCCCTGGCACTTTGGAGGTTGGTGATGAACTACAGCAGGTTCGGTTTTTCACCTCCTTGGGTGAGATCCACCAAGCGATGTTGGAGCTTTGGCGCCCGAGATGGCAGAAGGCGTCACAGATTGGGACGGCGGACTGGAATCGAATTTTGGGCTTCATTCAGGCATTCATGCCTACACTGCAGTTCCCTGATCCACCGCTGGCTATTTCTGCCTGGAAAACTATGCTGCGAAGATTTCCTCCTCGAGCTGCACGAGGGGTGGACGGCATTGCTGTGGCGGATCTGGCTCATCTTCCAGATTCCATCACCCAGAACCTCTTGGATTTTTTGGGGCAGATCGATGGCAGTGCTTGCAAGTGGCCTTCTCAACTTTTGTTTGGCAAAGTTCTGGGTTTGGCGAAACAGGAACATTCACATCTTCCTGCCCACTATCGACCGGTGGTGATTCTCAGTTGTGTTTACAGAGCATGGTCACGCATGAAAGCACAACCAATCCTTCAATTCCTGGCCAATGCGGTCCCCTTGGAGGCACAGGGATTTCTTCCTGGTCGTGAATGTGCGCACATTTGGCTTCGCTTGCAGAGCTACATTGAGCTTTGCATCCAGCAGCGGATGGATTTTTGCGGCTTCAGTGCCGATCTGGAGAAATGCTTCAACAACATTAGCCGTGATGTTTTGTTCACGCTGGCGGCTCATGTTGGCCTACCACCAGCTTTGTTGCAGCCCTGGCGGAGCCACCTGGACACCTTCGAGAGGGCGTTTGAGATTCGTACATCTTTGAGCCCGACGGTTACCAGTACACAAGGACTGCCGGAGGGATGCTCGCTCTCAGTGGTCGGGATGGTCTTGGTGGATTGGGCGTACCACATCTACATGCGGCTGCTGACCCCCACAGTTCACATGTTTAGCTATGTGGACAACCTGACCGCAGGGGGCTCGCAAGCTTTGGCGGTGGTGTCAGCGTTCTTTTCAACCATCTGTTTCTTCAACCTTTGGGGTCTTAGTTTGGATATGGACAAGAGCTATGTTTGGGGGCTTCAAGCTTCCAGCAGGGCGATTCTCCATCACTTGGGCCTTGCGGTCAAACAAGACGCCATGGAACTTGGTGGAAATCTTTGTTTTGGTCGTGCACGACGCAATAGGTTGATGAAATCACGGATGGTTTCCTTGGACAAGAAGTGGGCTCGTTTGAAGCGCAGTCGGGCTCCACTTTATCAGAAGATCCTAGTTTTGCCAGCTTCGTTTTGGGCGGCAGCGCTTCATGGTGCTGTGATTTGCCCTTTGCCAGATGGTCATTTACATGCTCTTCGAAAAGCTGCCCATCGTGCGTTGCATTTGAATCAAGCAGGCGCCAATGCTTTGCTTCGTTTCTCTTTGCAGCCCAATATGATGGCGGATCCGGGCTTCTATTACGTTGTCATGGTCATGAGCACATTCCAAAGGGTGTGCCGTCGCTCGGCCTCACTTTTGGATCTCTGGCGATGGTGGACTCAATCTTTTGCTGGCGACCTTCAACAAGGCCCATTCAGCGTGCTGATGCAGACTCTGAACAGTGTTGGCTGGGCTGTCCTTGAGCCTCCTTTGGTACAAGACCATTTGGGTGATGTGCATGACTTCATGCTTCTGGATGGCTCACTCATGCGAAAGATGCTGCAAGATGCCTGGTTGTTGCGGGTTTCTCAACAAGTTCGACATCGTCCCACGATGCAACAGCTGACCGGCATCGACCGCTATATCACCGTTGAGAGTAATGGCGGTCTCACTGCACATCAGACTTCGCTGCAATCTGCCCTTCAGAGCGGTGCGTTTATTGACTCTTGGGTTCATAGCAAATATGATATGACTAAACAGGGTCATTGTCAGTTGTGTGGGTGTCCTAATACTCATAGCCATCTTTTGGTTTGTCCCAAATATTCCAGTTTACGGGCTAAGTTTTCTTTGACCAGCGCTGATTTGCTCTCCTGGCCTCAATGTTTTTCACTGCATTTGCTCTGTCCACGTTCACCTTTCGTGGATGATTTGCGAGCCTATTTCTTGCAGTTGCCAGACACCACGGCACTCTTTGAGAGCATCCCAACCGGTGAAGAAATGGAGCATTTGTTTACTGATGGCTCATGCTTTGCTGATGGCAGATGGGAAGTTCATTGCGCGTCATGGGCTGTCTTCAATGCCAATAGCCAACAGGCGGTGGCCACAGGATGGGTTCCAGGACTGGCGCAAACAATTGGTCGAGGAGAACTGATGGCCTTGGTGGCGGCGCTCCGTTGGGCACTTCGACATGCTGTGCGCACGCACATTTGGATGGACGCCAAATTCGTCCATGAGGGCTATGAACAACGCCGCCATGGTTTTGTCGGGGACCTCTCAGACACACATGCGGATCTTTGGCTGCAGGTGGAACAGATGATTGCCGAGGGTGTGGGCACTCTTGCTTCTTCTTCATGGATACCCTCACATTTGGATCCTTCGCGGTGTGAAAATCCCTTTGAAGATTGGGTTGCCACCAACAACGGCAAAGTGGACCTTTTGGCAGTTCGCCAAAACCTTGCACGTCCAGTTAGCTTCTGGAATCTTGTCATGCGACAAAACCAATGGGATCAACTGTGGAGAGAGCGGCTGCATCAGCTTCGCCAATACTACTTTGGCATCTTCGAGCTGACGCATGGACCCAATGCGAAGAATGAGATCACAGTGATTGAATCAAGTGACGATGACGAAAGTGAGAGCAGATTGTACAGTTTTGCAGACATTTTGGCAGGGCTACCCAATCTTTGTACATTTGACTCAGCCACTGGCCTTCCATTTTCATTTTTGGAGAGCATTATCCATTGGATCAACTCTCATGATGATGTTGATTCTCCTGCGGTTGCGGTTAGTTTGTTGGAGATTACTGTTGGTTTGCTTCGAATTGATCCCATTACCTTTCCTCACAGAAACCCTACTTCGGGGAAATGGCATATGCGGGATAGGCTCACCCTGTATGAAAGACCTACTCTTGCCTTTTACATTGGGCTTGTACAAAAGGTTTTCCAATTTTTGGCACGACAGAGCAGGCATTTTGATTTTATTTTGCAATCTTTGGATTGCTCCGGTATGGGTGTGCATGTGCCACAACGAGGCGTAGCACTTCGCCTAAACACCCAGCTGCGAGCCGATATCAAACAGGTATTGGCCTTTTTCACGGCTTCAAGGCCAATTCGGCGGGCAGCCGACATGGCGAGGCCGCTCTGCTAAGGACTCTTGGACTGTTTGCAGCTGCACTGCTTGCGGCCGTGCACTGCAGACTCATGCAATCTGTCCGCGATAATGGGAAAAACCCATGGGTTTCCGGTTAAGATTTTCCCTTAAACCAATCCATTGTTATTCCCCTGGAAAAGATGTGCTCGGCCGGAAACGGTTACCGTACGGAGACGGATCTGGGGTGCACGAGGCGGCTGCACAGATGAAGGTCTCCACGGATCTGGACATATCAGGCGAGCCCGGGAGCAGAAATCAGGCCGAATTTTTCGCTGGGATTTGAGGATTTAAACGTGGTGATTTCATTGGTTTTTTTAAGGGATTTAAGGATGATTTCATAGTCTTTTATGAATTTTTAAAGGATTTAAGAATCAAACATATCATAGTTTTTTTCATGGGTCTTAAGCTGAGTTTTAAGCATCTAACATGTAGTGGGTATACATAACCAATGACGGGGTAAATTTGCAAAACAATCGGCAATATCCCCCAAACAAATAGGGTGTCCCCTCACTCGTCCCATAGTACTTTTAGAGACCCTGCTCTGATATTTTTTTGGACATGGTGCAGGACAGATTGCTTCCAGGGTATACCACTTGTACTTCAACACATTTCAAACATGGCAAAACATCAATTGTTAATAGAGAAATCATCGAACTAAATGGGCCATGTTCCATAGTGAACAGTGATTTGTTCAAGGAGGGTAGCTTTCGTGCGTCAAGATACAAGAATTGGATAAGTCTGGATAAATTATGGAAAATTCGCACTGCGATGTCATTGAAATGATGGTTTGTAAAGGTAACTCTCCCATAAATCTTTTTGTTTCAGGTTGGTGAAGCTCTATCCAGAAAACATCAGAAAACTGCATTTTGTTGGGGTGGCTCCCCGTTAAACGCGTCCACTCCGATTGAGATCTTGGAAGATTTGCACCATCCCCAGGCTTCATGTTAAATTTCTTCCATGGCAGCGCGCTGGGAACATCCTGCATTTCTGTTCTCCTGGCGCAGTTGAGAGAGGGTTGGTGCTAGCACTCATTAAGAGGGAAGGGGTTAAGAATTTCCCAAACAGATGGTATGTTGGAACACGTTGGAGCCATTCCAGTAGATCCACGTGGGGTTTCAGTATGTTTCAGTAGTTCCTGGTCTTGAATGATGCCACCAATGAAAGCATCAAAAGTATTTATATATAGTGGATTTACCAATTGAAAGTGAAAGGGGTGATTTTCCACAGCTATGTTAGTTTACCAAAGGGTAAAATTTCAAATGGTTTAAAATACAGAGGTACTAAAGATTATAGTCCTAATTTTGGGGTTGGAATGGGGTTGGACATGAACTCAGGAATAGGTGTACGCCAACCCCCAACCAATACCCGCAACCGGTCGGTTTATATTGACCCCTCCTTTTGAAATCATGGGTTCATGATCATCTTCACCTTGTTTGGGATCTCCCTGTCATTGGTAATTCCACCTCCTTAATGTTACAAACTGCAACTACAATTATAGCATTATAGCCCGTTACCAATCATAAATTCTTATAAATACACCTCCCACAAATTTTAAATGGGGTTTGTCACTAACTTACAACTGGTAAAGAGCCATGACTGTCAGGAGCTTCAGCTAAATAGATCTCCAGTGTAGACGAACATTTTCTGGTTGGTGGTTTCAAACATGTTTTTTTCCATAATATATGGGATGATCGGATAATCCGTCCCATTGACTCATTGACTAATAGTTTTCAATATTGCTAAAACCACCAACCAGTTTTCCATAGGTTTTTTTCACGCCAAGTCAATATTTTTCCCATAGGTCCATAGGTTTTCACTGAATTTTATTGTGGAATGTTTGGGGGGAAGGGTCCCTTCACTGCGCGGATGAATCCTGGGCGGTGACCAGCCTGGAAGTGCTGAGGTTTTGTTGCCAGAGAGTCCACTTGCGGCAAGTGACGCTCAGGTTTTACTTGAAACATGATTAACATTAATATACATGCATATATCATCATATATATCATCATATATATATATATATCATCACATATATATATATATATATATTATATGTATATATCTAGATATGTTATTTGCATATTTATGATATGTGTATGTTTGCACCGGGTTCCTGTCAAGACAAGTGCGTTACAAACGCCAAGAAAACATATTTATTTGGAACAGGTCTCTTAGTACATGGTCTCAAATATGTGGTTTCATTCCCTACTAAACCATAGTTTCTAGGGGTGGTTTAATATTAGGGGGCTGGGAGTATTTGTCCATCCCGATTTGAGTTGACTACCTTCGAGCAAGCGGGCTGGTGCTTAGAAATGTGTGGGTTGTCACCAACGAAGCGACATTTGCAACTCACATGTGGCTATTGGCTCCGAGTATGATTTGGTTTTCCATCTTTTGGGAACATATTTCTGGGATGAGTTCACACGAGCAAACTAACATGGGTCCCCAAAACTGATGTTGGGAGACAAAGACTTGGTTCTGTTTTGTATTTTCTGATAGGATTGCATGTTCAGCCTTTTCGCAACTAGATGGGTTACCCATTTATTAATATTTATTACAATAATATATTATATATATATATATATACTGTGTATATATATATATATATCAGTCAAACCTTCAGCAGGGGGCCAACATGGATTAGCAAACCACCTTTTCTTTGAGTTTGTCGTTTTTTTTTTCCGGGAATTGCTCGCATTTTCATAAATAATGTTACATATCTATGTTATTATGTTATGTGTAAAGTGAGCACAGGTACCTATTCCCAAATGGCCTTATTTCAGGTATGCAAATCATGATAATTTCCCACATAGATTTTGCAGTTTTTCCCTGCGTCGCTTGACTCACTGGAATGGCCCATCCACAGGATGTGGCCAGTGGCCAGCACCAACTATGTCCATGGCTGCAGTGGCTGCAGGGAGTAGATGTATTTTTTGTGCCAATGATGAGATCTGAATCTTGGTATCATTGGATTGGTCCGGATTGGTTTTGTTGGGAAAATCTTACTGGAAACGCATGGGTTTTTGCCATCAAATTGATCGGGCTTTCCTGTAAACTTTCCCGTCATACAATTCTATGACGGTATCACTGAAATTTCTCCCATACCATGGCGCAGCTTTAGAAAAATCAACTCTTCTAAGAAGAGTTGTGCGAAGAACTGCTTCACGAGATGGTGGTGTCATGTTTTGCCTATAGCCACCCCCATAGATAGAAAAGTTGTGAACTTGGAAATGAAAGGGGAAACATCATTTGGTTCACAACCTGGAAGCACGATTCGGCATTTTTTGGAGTACTACAAGCAATCTGAGAGGAATGCTTGACACATGCTACCCCCGATTATGTATATATATATATATAGATAAACAAATACATAAATAAACAATAATAATAAATAAGAATTAATAAATATATAAATAAATAAATAGATATATACATTAATATAAATAAATATAAATAAATATAAATAAATATATAAACAATAAATATATAAATAAATAGATAAATATGATGGATGGATGGATGGATGGATGGATAGATGGATAGACAGAAAGAAAGAAAGAAATGAATGCAATAATATACACGTGGGTGTGGTCAAAATTGATGGCCTACTACTTAGATGATTATTTCATTATTTCAACATTGGTTTAGAGTTTAACGGCCGCAAACATGTTTTGATCCGAGAATGGGATTGCCTTGAAACCCGGTTTTTACTGCACATCAGTCTGCGCCATCAGTAAGCCACATGATCCCTGCCCAATGCAGAGAAACCATGGGTCTCAGACACCGGTCTCGTCAGATCGATTACCCGTGGCAGAATCGGTTGAAAAAAGGCAACTGCGGTTGGAAAGTGCCATGGGATCCATGGGGTTTGTTGGATCCATGCGTTTTGTGTTTTGCAGAGAAATTGTCGAGGTTTGGACGACAAACTGCTCTAAGTCTTGGATTCTTAGATTCTTTCCAGATGCCGTTGGTTAAACTGAAGATTCATCAACGGTCAGAACGAAGATTTTTTACAGAAGACTCCTGGAAGTTGGGAACCCAAAGCTCCTACTGGAATTTATGAAGGGACCCAGCCACTTTCATGAGCCCATGGGGCCCATGGTCAAAGTCTGGACGTTGAGATGGGAAACCACCAAAAGCAGTTCAAGAATCTGTTGGAGTCGTCATCTGATCTGGACTATTAATTATATAATGGACCCTATGTTGCAGGCGTTCGCACCATTGATGAATTTGCTAAACATGAGTGAAGAGTTCGAGTCGTTGCTGGGTAACTTCACACCATTTCACACCTGGGCCTTGAATTTGATCCTCGCAGCCACGCAGCCAAGTGATCAACCTCTGAACGTTGTGAAGTCGCACCACTTTGGTGCTCCGAACCAAAACTGCCAGCCATGATGACATCTGCTTCTTGGCACTTGCGGCGATATGGATCCATATGGCGTGAAATCCTGATACCATGCAAAGAAAGTTAGGGAAACCCCGCTTTGGGAAGATAATGGAAGAAATAGATGAATACATGCCAGATGAATACATGATACTGTAATGGAAGAAATAGATGAATAGATGACCCCTTTTGTTTACTTCGTGAGGTGGTTTGTTGAGAGCTCTTTCATCGTTTAGCACTGCCATCCAGCCCCAGCAAGGTTGACATCGCTTCCGCTTTGACGTGCCCCGTTTCGGCGTTTTTTTTTTGGGGGCGGAAACACATTGAGATGCCCTGAGGCTAGCAGCAACAAATTGTGATGCGGCAGGCGGCAACTTAAGGAAATTGATGATTCAAAAGCTGGACATGATATACCCTCTGGTAAACGTTTACATAGCGATTGAAAATCACCATTTTATAGCTAGGTAAACTATCTATAAATGGGCCATCTATACCATGGCTATGTTAAATAACCAGAGGGTAACATGGAACCTTCAAAACAGCAGTTTCAATCAGTGATTCTGCCTGTTTGTCCTCACGGTCACCTCACAACAATTCCGGCTTTATGTTTCGGGATAAGCCACCTATTCAGCCCCTGGTGTGGGGGGTGACCATTAAGTGACCTGAAAATTGGCACTATACCTCCATATATATACGTACAGTATATCATTTGCTTACAGTTCAATTCCGCACGTGCCTCCATTTTCAGACAGGGTTTGCGGAGCCATTTGTTTTCATGATGGGTGATATCAAATCGTGTGTTGGTGTCTATCCCCGAATTTCCTCGGTTCATATCCCCATGTCTCTCCCCATTTTTGTGTTCAGACCCAGGTGCCCTCCTCCAATTTCACTTCCAAGATGTCAATATCTTGACAGGTACGCTGTGGCCGCCATGCTTGTGGAATTTGACGTGCGACAACACCAGCAACGCCAACAGCAACAACAACAACAACAGCAACAGCAACAGCAACAACAGCCATTTGGCGGCAATACTGGCAGGGTATACAGGTTAGCCATCAGTGATCAAGGATTACTGTATCCATTTGCTATCAAGAAAGATGCATTTCCAAATGATCAACATATGTCAACTGGTTGGTGGTTCCAAACATTTTGTATGTTCCATCCTATATTGGGAATAATCATCCCATTGACTTTCATATTATTCAAGATGGTTAAAACCACCAACATAATGTATCCAACCAGATGATATCCAGCTACCGACCAAAAAAACCTGGCTGTCTCATTCGCTACAGATATCCAGGGATACCATAGGGACAATGGGGGAGATCCCCGGCAACTAATGGACGATTTTTAATATGACTTTTTGATATACCCTCTGGTTATGATTAACATAGCCATGGTATAGATGGCCCATAGAAATAGATGGTTTACCTAGCTATAAAATGGTGGATCTTTCCATGGCCATGTTAAATAACCAGAGGGTAAATACTGTAGTGAATTTTTGATTGCCATGTTTGATTACCGCAAGTTACTGCGTGTTCATCAGCAATCTAACCAGCTTGGCCGGCTACCCAACGGGCTGCAGTGCGGTAACGAAGCCCAGTACTGCTGGCGGCTCAGGCAACAGTAATGGCAGTTGAACGGTTCAAGGTGGAGCTCCGGCTGTTCTGGTTTGGCCCATGGTGAACTAACAGTTTGCGACACAGACAATGGCCATAGAAATGGTGAAATTAGCCATCTAAAAATGGTGATTTTCCATATTTTTGTTTATGTTTTTTGTACGTTTACCAGAGGGTATCCCATGTTTTTTTTGTTCACCTCCGAGTTCTGGATTGAAACAAAGGGAGCAACTAACATGTGTCATACCAGGTCCTAGGCCTTGTAGACCATGGCTGGGTTCAGTTAAAAGACGATTCCTACTAATGGCTGCGTTTCAACACCCCGCAAAAGTCCTGGTGGAGAGCAGACCTGGGTAGAAAGTGAGAAAGATAGATGAAAATAGTGGGTTGGTGAATTTATGACGGTGTTCATTACATAATTACTTGCCATTTCCCTTTTTGGGGTTTCCTAAAATGGGAAATCCCCAAGTCACCAGCAACTGCCAGGACGAGAACGCCATGGAGACCTTAGGCGGGGCCGTCATGGCTTGGTTGTAGGGTGGCTTCAGCCTTGGATAATCTCGGAGACCTCAAAGTTCAGTATTCAAGTTACCTCTGGTAAACAAACATAGCTATTGAACATGGTGACTTATAGTAGATTTGCCCATTAAAAATGGTGCTTTTCCATAGTTATGTGACAGTTTACCAGAGGGTAGGCGTTGTCTGGCTGGAGATATCAGAGATATTTGCTTTCCAGTTTGGAAAGTGAAGCAACTTATTATCTATCCCAAATGCTCCACGTATGGAATATTTACCAACATTTCCCCTAGAAATCACCCAGTCATGTAGGTAAATATACCAGAACCATGGATCATATGGGTATTATTATGTTGATATATTTGGATGACATACAGGGACCCAAAATCGACAGTAGAGATCCAGACAGATTTTTGGGGTTGACATGGTTGTCGGTTGTCGGAGCGAACATGGCCCTTAAAAACAAAAAAAAGGAGGTGAACATGGTTTTAGATGGTTATATATATATGTTTATCATGGTTGATATTGTATTGCCATATTATATCTTGTATATTGATATATTGGTTGGTAATGATGTAATTGAACAGGTCAATGATTTTGCGCCTGGTAAATTAAGATATCTATGGAACATGGCCCATTTATCGATAATTTTCCTATTGAAAATGATGATTGTCCATGGCCATGTTAACTTACCAGAACTAAGGTAATTTGGTTTTAAGCATATTTCAGCATGATAGCAGCAACATGGTTTTAAGCTTTCTACCAGGTGAATGGTTCATAAAGCCCTTACGGCCAGCCATTTGGAAAAACATTAAGTCTTCAGTTTCTTCCATCTAGCTTTATCTGGATGTTTCCTGGAGACTAGGTGCTTAGCAACTGGAATATGTACAAGTTCCATTGTCTTTCCAAGGCTATGGGCTGGTTCCAAATTGAAATTGCGAACTAGTGTACATGGTGGTGGCACATACCCTCTGGTAAACTAACATAGCTATTGAAAATGACCAGTTATAGTTGATTTACCCATTAAACATTGTGATTACCCATTGTTATGTTAGTTTACCAGAGGGTACAAAGTTAAAGGTGGTTTGGTTTATAACTATGTCAACTAGGTTCTATTTGGGTTATAGGATGTTGTAGGGGTAGTCAATGAGGTTTATAAACCCTCCTATGCCTGGGGGACACCACCCTCTTGCTAGTTTTGTCCTGCTTGTTGGTGCAGTTCAGCTTCTGCCCGCAGTGTTAACATGTTGCTGTTGAGCACGGAGAGTTGTATCCCAATGCCTGTCTCTAACATGACATGGATGCGTAAAATGAGTTTCCCTTTATATAAACGTGGCCATGTTAGATGATTTTCTGCGCCAAAAAAAACGCATGTCATAGATTGTCATAGCACCTTCCCAAAAAGATAAAACAAGTTAATTTATCACGTTTTTTCTCACTATTTGAGCAGGTTTTCACCAGTTTTACCAGCTTTTTTTTTTTTACATGACCGTCCGCACGAGGCCTAGCCCTGGCGTCCTTCACTGCTGCAGCACTTTCTGCTGCAGAAGAGTCATGTGAGATGCGATTCCGTGAAGCGGTACGGCGCCTAAGGACTTCGTGTTGCTGTTGGCCAGGCCGAACTAAGGAATGAATGTCGACCCCGGATTAATGAAGCATGGTTTATTCATGAGGGGTGTATTCCAATAGTCATGATTTGATACTTAAGTGGTACCTTCCCAATTAAACAGCCGTAAACGGTGGATCGATCCAGGACATTAGATGCGAATGGGTAATCTAAGAGGTTTTGAACAGCCTTTGGTAAACTAACAGTTTGCGAACTGGAAAATCACAATCTTTTATAGATAAGTTAACTATAAATTGGCCATGTTCAATGTCGCAAACTCTTAAAATTTCTCTTAAATTACCAGAGGGTAGAGGTGGTTTTGATGGGCTCGGATACCAGCTGTCATGATCACTAAAGTCAAGTTCCCTCAGGTTTGTTGAGCTTGATGGTGCTTCTTAATGGTCCACATCTATATCCACTGACCCAGATGCTCCATGGTTCTGGCATATTTACCTACAAAACTGGGCCATTTTTGGGGCAAATGTTGGTAAAGATTCCAGCACCATGGAGGATCTGGGTAATGTCAATGTCAATATCCCCCTAAGTATAGTTGAACTGTTGAATTTAGAACAGAGGATCAAGGAACCAGTCGAGGTGAAGAAAAAAATTCCTCCAACTGGGATCTAGGCGTCAACCAACTTTGACGGTCGCGACGTCACTGGAACAATGTTTAGATTGCCGAGAAATTGTTCCTTTAAATAGCATAACTGGTTGGCCAGGCCACTCCCATTGCCAACCATGAATTCACCAGTCGTCACCAAAGATGCAAAAGTATGCCAAACTTGTCAGGTTGGTGGAAGCAATATTATATTTACCAATATTACTAGGATCTGAATGGGGTAAATCATGGTAAGTCCATCTAATTTCCAGAAATTGAAGGGGAAAATGACAGGAGATCTTCAGAATTTAGTGGTAGGAAACATTGAAATTGGAATCCCCTTTCTTTTTTACGGTAAAAAAAACACGCATGGAAAAACATGGCTTCCGCTGTAGATTTTCCCTTGAATATCTTGAATCCAGTGATCCATTGAATCTACCCAGTAATTTCACAGTTTGCTATGGAAGCCATGGCTTTTTCAGTTCGATGATTTATATACCTCCAAGAAAAACACGTTGCAAACTGATCGTTATTACCAGAGAACATCCCCATGTTTGTTGGTTATATATTCCAATACTATATCTCAATATATCACCATATGTTCTGTTTTGGTTATATAAATCCTATGTGAAATCCAATGAAATGACCATGTTTCAACCTCCATCAATTCATATCACCATATATGTTTTATGGTTAATCCCATGAAGTCCCCGTTCAACGGATGGCTTCTGAGGCTCTGGAATTCCTCGCAAGGCTCAAGCCGAAGGCGTGGACAAAAAAAACCTTCCGCGGGATTCATGGCCCGTCATGGCCCGAGTTATACCAGTTATACCCGACCTGGTAAACATACAAAAAACCATGGAAAATCACCATTTTCAATGGGTAAATCCACTATAAATAGCTATTTTCGATATGTTAAATTACCAGAGGGTAAGTCACTGAAAAAACTTCAAAGAAAGAAAAAGTAAACCCGTTGCTAACCATTTGTAACTGAGTTATCAGTTAGAACCTCATCAAGAAAATGATAAACCATGATAATTAAACCATAACCATTTGTAACTGGTAAAGGGCTTTAACTGCATCAGAAAATGAACATCCATATTGATAAAAATGTATTGGTCATTTCGGAAGGAAACCGTGGGTTTTCATAGGTTTTCCATATCTATTGTCAATTTGTTGAAAGGTAAATCTCTATTTTAGCGCGACCACGATATGCATCTACCATGATAAATATGTCACCGCACAATGCCTAGGTGACTCAGACTTCAATGCAAAGGCGCTGGGCTGAGGGTTGTTTTTTGTTTTTTTGATGGGGCCAAAAAGATGACATTGCAAGCCATGGGCTTATGTAACATGTTGGAAATAATCAGAATGGGACTGATCTTCATTGAAACCAATTAGTATGATTTAAAAGGGGAAATTATGTTAAGGGTGCGTCAAACGATACTGTAAGGGCAATTGTTCAACAGCGGACTATTCTTGGGCACTCAACTTGTGGAATGTTTGTCTAACAACATATCATACCCATAGGATCCATGTATGCCATATATGGTAACATGGATCCCATCAATATACCCCAGTTATGTTAGCATATATACCAGCACCATGGATCCTATGGGATATATGAAGTCCTGGTATTCCCTGGTTATGTTTCATAGCTGCGATACCTGCAGGGGACTCGGACATCCCATCGTTGATTCGACGCTTCCGAGGTTGCAACTGGAAGTGCGGAAGTGGAGGGCTTGGTATGTTCGACTCGGAAGTCGATTCGTGGATGTCCTTTGTGGTCAGCTGTTGCATCCATTTCGTTGTTCTTTTCTCATGATTGTGATTAACCATGTGTAAGCATATATAATTTCATTATCATTATCCATGTGTAAGCATATTATGTAAACATATATGTAAACCCTTCGGAGCCCACCCCACTGTCCCACTGGACTTATCGCGATAGATATCTATGGATGCTCAAAACATCGTAACACCAGGATAAAACCACACTTGTAGTAGCTGTCTAGATCTTGAGTTGACTTTTTTTTGTTGCCTCCCCTGGTGGTGGAGAATATTTCGGGCAGCGTAGTGGTAAACGTTTTGCTTTTGCCAACTACATATTGAGTTGAATATGTTGAATTCTAGGATGATATAGCAGATGATTCTCACCAAATCGTTTCCAGATGTTTCCAGGTGTCCGACGTTTCTCCAATTTTCTATGGGGAGGTCTCAGCCATAGCCATGCACTTTGGTCCTCTTTTCTCCAGCAGTTGTGTGTACCATATTTGCCCATGTTTACGATGACCAAGTAGCCGCTTAGCCTTCAGAAAAAGGTGAGAGATGGCTTAAGAATGCTTAAGAGTGCTAAAGATGACAGGGTAGCGGGTAACATTTCTATCGCTACTTGTTTTGGGTCGACATCCCAAGGTTGACCGGTTGACCGGTTGACCTTGGATCAACTTCACGTCCCAAACGCATCTCAGGCCACCTTCGCTGCTTCCCCAAACGCAACTCTGGCGTTTGCTGCGGCACTTGCCGCAGGGGGACTCACCGGGGACTGACGGGGACGGAGTTTCAGGTTTTTTGGACGACAATGTGAAAATCGAGGATTGAATGGGATTCAAAATGGGATTAGCCACCCAAGAAAATCAACATGGATAAACTATAACTATACCTCTAGTAATTTAACAGTCTGCTATGGGAAATCCATGGAAATCCCACATTTGAGTAGGTAAATTCTCACCTTCAGCCTAGCTGGATCTGCGGGATGGTGAATTTGCAAAAGCCATTTTCTATAACTAGATATATTACTAGAGGGTAGAACTTGGTGAATGGTAGGTCCCAGGTGGAAATGCTGATGTGGTAAATGGATGTACCCTCTGGTTATTTAACATAGCCGTGGAAAATGGCCAGATGGTTTACCTATTGAAAATGGTGATTTTCCATAGCTATGTTAAATTACCAGATGGTAAATGGATGTAAATTGTATATAGGTGGACAGCTATAAATGCAGGAATGCACGCTTCCGCTAACGATTGGATTGTTTGCCCCCGGGTCATCGGCCACATTCAACTTGCGTTGACATGGCTGCCATGGCTTAACCAAAAAAACACAAAGAAAATGGTTAGCCGGTTAGTGGGCCAAGCCTAATTATACAGTTATGGCCTTTTATATACCAACTATAAGATGCTATAAGTACTTATATATGACCCCATTTATAGAATGTTTCTCATCCTATAGAAATACCTGTCCACCTTCACCACGGAGGTGCTTTTTGGTCAACAGTGAAGTACCGACCCTGCCCAGTCAATACTCATATACAATGATAGATATGATAGCCATGGCCATAAGTTGGTTTATAACCCCCATTAACTATAGTTACACATAGTTATACCATAACTGGTTGGTGGTTTGGAACATTTTTTGTGACTTTCCATATATTGGGAATGTCATCATCCCAACTGACGAAGTCCATCATTTTTCAGAGGGGTAGGTCAACCACCAACCAGATAAATACCATGGCCACAACTAGAACTCATGGCTTCGGCTTAGCCCGAGCGTCGGATGCCCAGGTCTCAAGATCGACGCAAGTTCATCGAAGAACGCCTCTCCGAGGCTGGGCGACTGGGAGGTGAGGTCCGAAATAGGTCCCGAAACGGATAAATTGGGTTAACTACTTATAATGGTTAACCCAGTTTAATGGTTATGAATATAAGAGTCAACCATAATTATATAACCTATTCATAATATGACTTGGTTAATTATGGTTGGGTTACACCTGTAATCATAGAAAACTATGGTTACTATATGGTTACTATGGAAGAAAAACTAAGTTGACGCACAGAACTTGGTTAATGGTTAACTTTGGGGATGTAACTACTGGGATTGTTCAACCAACTTACTAAACTGGGGGCCTCACCCTGGGCTTTTTTCACTCACAGGTGTCTCAAGGTCCTAAGGTGGTGCTTGCTCCATAAACCCTCCCATTCGCCAACCATTACTGGGGGTCATAGTAAACATCATCCCAGTCATGACAGGGCATACCCTCTGGTAAACATACCAAAAACTATGGAAAATCACTATTGTTAATGGGTAATCCACTATTTCTCTGGCCATGTTCTATGTCGCAAACTGTTATAATTTACCAGGCCGGGTAGCCACGTTCACAAAGCTCTTGGATGGTTCGTTTATCCCATCCCCGGGCCATACAAAAATCACCATTGTGGAGATTCCCAACCATGCGTTTCTATAGGGCTGTTTTTTCGATTTGGGGGAAGGGATTATGAAAGTTACCCGACATGGTAAACGTTTACATAACGAACTGGAAAGATCATGAAAGATCCACCATTTTCAATGGGTGAATCCACTATTTCGACTGGGTCATTTTCAATAGCTATGTTAAATTACCGGAGGGAAATTACATTATGACCCATTCAGTATGTTCCTCGCAGGATTTTTGTTCATCCCAGTCCATGACATTGTTTCCAGGCGGAAAGGCGTCAGCTGGAACATGGGCTTCTTGCTGAACGAGCGAGACAAGGTGGGATGAGATAGGTAAACCCGGTTTTTTGGGCTTCAATACTTGGATTTGCTGAAGATGATGGGGATATTTGACCCAAGGTAAATCCGCAAGATGGGGATCTTTTTGGGATATTTCTTCATTTGTTTGGGTTCATTCATCAAATCCAAGTGTGCGCCAATGGCTGGAAAAACCTCAGACCCAGTACCCTCTGGTAAACTAACATACCTATGGAAAAAAGACCATTTCTAATGGGAAAATTCACTATAAATGGCAATGTCCAATAGCTTTTTGTATGTTTACCAGAGGGTATTCCCAACTTTTTTTGAGAGGCAATGAGAGGCAGGCAGTCTTCCAATGGCCTATTTGGCAGGGTCAAGGGTGAATTAGTTGGATGATGAGGTAATTGCCGTACCTGTGACGGTGATGCTTGGTGGAAGATGATCAATAGTAAATTATAATAAACATTTAGTAAATTATAATGAAATTATAACATGATCAGCTGGTGGGATAGCTATTAATAACTATTCTGCAAATGGAGCATTTGGGAATGTCAATGGACAATCCTTTAAACCTTTCCGAATCTCCTTACAAGGTGGGTGCCCGAACGATAGCTAAGTTGGTTTATAGCTGTAACGTGTCATAATCACATGTTGCAACATGTTATAACAAGTTATAACATGTTATATGTATACATATTTATATATGTATATACATATATTGCATATATATATATATAACTGCAATAGTTAGATGGGTGAAACTAAGCCAAGGAACATACCATGATGTGCTTATCCAAAGTTGTTACCCATTGAATAACCATATCAAATCACAATATTACATACCCAATAAAGACCCCACATATACAAAAATAAAATCCATGAATACAAAATAACTAGCAACTATAAATATTCATGAAATCACCAACGAATCACCAATTGACCCTCTGGTAATTCAACATTGCTATTGAACATGCCCCATTTATAGTTGATTTACCTATTAAAGAATGTGATTTTCCATAGCTATGTCAGTTTACCAGAGGGTAGATCTACCAACAGACTATTGGACTCCCTTGATTGTATATTGTCGAAGTCAAGCCTTGCACTGTAAACCAAATAAAGGCTATTTCAGTAGCTACCGAACAAAATTTCCCTATAAATATTTGGGTACCCTCATAACCTGGTTGGTGGTTTGGAACATTTTTTATTGTTCCATATATTGGGAATGTCATCATCCCAACTGACTTTCATATTTTTCAGAGGGGTAGGTCAACCACCAGCCAGTGATTAGTTTACCAGAGGCTACCCAAATAAAGGCTATTTCAGCAGCTACTGTACAAATTTACACCATAAATATTTGGGTACCTTCATAACTGATTAGTTTACCATAGGGTACCCAAATAAATCATCACAAAAAAAGGGCTCTACACCCAGGCAGCCTTGCCTTGGCCTTGCCCAGCTGCGTCTCCCTGCGGAGCCTGTGCCGCTGGAAGGGCCGGGCGCGATGTCGGGTCCGGGCCTGGGATGCCTGGGGATGGGTGCCGGGGTACTACTGAGATTCATTTTACCCCAAAAAAATGGGATTTATATACAGGGATTTAGAGTGAATATGTGTAGGTACATGTTGATATAGTTGATTATATATTAATACAATTTAATACATATATTTATATAATTATAAAGTTGTTTATATGTTTTATATGTAGGATAATGCAATTGTTTGGTAGTTAATTAATGGGTTTGTCCCCAAATCTGTAGGTTTATTGCGGATTATCATAATTTTCTCTAGATTGCGTACCCCATTTCGATCTTTCTGTGATCAAACCCAGGAAGAACAGACATACCTAAAGATGTTGTTACCTGTATTTTAACATAAAATTTCGAAGAAACATCGGGTGTATTATTGGGTTTTCTACTCCTAACATTCCGCCATCATTCAACCCATGTCCGAAAATTTACAGCCGCTCTACGACCTGGCTACGGTAAGAATCGTCCCAGCTGGCTGGCTCGATTCATCCACTGCAGGCGTTTAATTTTAGGTGGGATGGGATAGTTGCATCATGTTGCATCCTGATTACCCGACATGGTAAACTGTCACATAACGAACTGGAAAGATCCACCATTTTAAATGGTAAAATCAACTATTTCAATGGCCATTTTCCAGTTCGCAAAGTGTCACTTAAATTACCAGAGGGTAAATCACCAGACAGTTCCATTAAATCACCATTAAATCACCATTAGATCCCATTAAAATCACCATTAAAATCACCATTAAAATCACCATTAAAATCACCATTAAAATCACCATTAATCACCCAGAATTGCTCGCACCATGGATTCCCTGGGTGGGTTCACTAAGGTCGGATATCGTCCCATCCTCCATTTGCACGACAGCCTCTATGCGCAGGCGGTTTTTTGTTGGGACGGTGTTGGGACGGTGGTTTGATGGTTGGAAATGGCTACCATTTTTTGGGTCCCCGAACGATAGCTAAGTTGGATTAAGTTGATTTATAACTCCAATAACAATGGCCTATGATACTTATCTAAGACTTATAACCTATAACACTATAGTATTCATTGGGTTTATGAGCCAACAAACATAACTAGGGGGCCCCACATTGTATCCTGGGATGTATCGGGATATCGCCTTGGGATCACAAGTAAAGTCCTCAACAGAAAGCTGGGTATGCCCATGGCTTAAATAAATAACTGAATTGCTATGTTTTAGAGGGGGAATCTGATGATTCTGATATACTAAAGTATACATATTTAAATGATAATAATTATTCATTGAACTTCACCAATTTTTGCCAAATTTCAGGTCTTGAACTCGGCTAGGCATCCTTTACCTTCAACTTGGCCACTGCGGTGCGGGCGTGGGGCATGCTCAGCGATTCATCACTGGATCTGTTCGTCCCCCAGGGAGTTGATGTCTCCCACATCTCCGTCGCGGCGTTGAGGTTTGGCATTTTGCTGGCGATGCGGGCCGCTGCGGAGGAGGACATGGCAGACATCTCCCCAAGTTGGTCCAAATTGTAAGGACATATTCCATAAATTCTGCTGGTTGGTGGTTTGGAACATGAATTTTATTTTCCAGAATATATGGGATAATCCTTCCCATTGACTTTCATATTTTTCAGAGGGGTAGGTCAACCACCAACCAGTTTAGCATATATTGTTGTTGTTTTTTTGAAACGACATAATGAGATCAGAAATGAGTATGCATGTATATTGCATGTGTATTTATGTTGTAGAAATATTAAAAGGTCAAATTACGTAATATTACGTATGTTTGTAAAACAAAAATTGTTGGTTTCCCATTAGAGACCCTCCAAGTACCTCTAAAAGGGATTAAAAAGGGTCAAAGCGGTGTACAAGTGTACAACACCATTTTTATAGGTAATTGGAGGGTCTAGGTAACTAGGTACACCTATAATTACTCAATGGGAATTCCAGGATCCTAAAATGGAGGTACTGTACCATATAAGACCATATTTTGGGGGTATATCCCCTTACATAGGCCTTATATAGGCCTTATATATGGTAGATACCTCCAATCAATCGGTTCCTGAAATGGCCATTGAATTACCATATGTTTTTGTTTGATTAGATCCCCAAGCTTTGGTAAAACAGGAAGCCATGACCGTGGAGAAGATGCAGCAAAGCATTGCACACGTGCAGCGTGCCGAACTCGGGAAATCTCGGGAACGGCGGGAACGGCGGGAAGGTGGGAGTTCAGCCAAGAGTTTTCTAAACAAATAGAACTTCCTGTGGTGAAAATGGGAATCATATGTTGGAATATGAAACCATGGAAAACCTATATGAAACTCATGGGTTAAAGGTAAAGCGTAAAAATGTGCGTGTTTTTAATAATGTGATTGCGGATATTCCGAGGATATATTCCAAGTTTATGTTGAATGCCACTAGAATGCTTGCGAATGGGAGCGCAGAATGGTTCCAGATTCAGAACTCCCAGAATTAACGTAATGTTTTCCTCTGATTTCTTCCCTTCAAGCAACTCATTGAACAACAAGTTTGTTGGTTTAAGGTGCTGCTGGTGCTCAGATCTTCTACTTCAAGACGCGTGTGAAGGTGACGTCAACCCTCAGCTCGTCTCGGACTCAGTGGCACCCATGGTCAGCTAAGTTCATTTGCGAACAAGTGAACTGGGGAAGCCACTTTTTCAGTTGGTGGTCATTGCAAGGCAAATAGCAGGCAACTAGAATTGTTTCAAGGCTTATAATTTGGAGGATTTGCCCATGCCCAAGTTCTTGCCAGTTCTCCTCAGCACAACCTGCTCATTGAAAGAGTTTCTAGCAGATTAGGGATATGGAACTTCATGGGGCTTCCAAACTAGCAGGTGGCTCTTGGATATGACAACTAACTTGATGATCGTAAGGCTACATGTGCTGTGCATCAAAGTAAACTTCTTGCATCACCTAACCCATATTTGTCTGGTTGGTTTCAAACATTTTTTATTTTCCATAATATATGGGATAATCCTTCCCATTGACTTTCATATTTTTCAGAGGGGTAGGTCAACCACCAACCAGTTGTACAATGCGTATTCGGTATTACTTTTGGACCCCTGAAACGTGCATTACAATGGTATACCCGCAACCAGTTTCCTCTTCATGTCCAACTTTTGAAGGTCCTTTCAGAAGTGAAAGGTATACCCGGCCTGGTAAACATACAAAAAGCAACATAGAAAATGGCCATAGAAAAAATTACCCATGAAAAATCGTGATTTTCCATAGTTATGTGGCTGTTTACCAGAGGGTATTTTCTATCCCTATATCTTGTTAGAATCCCAACCATTTCTTCTCTTTTTTCGCCTTTTCTCGCCCAAATTTTTGGTGCAAAAAAGCCAGAAATTGTTGCCGCATCCCCAGGCAGCGTCGCGAAGTGGCCACACCGGCGCGGCGCAGTTTACACCTCGCGCTGCGGGAGTGGCAGGGCGCACAGCTCCTGCGCGCAGAGGCAGATGGGCAAATTTGGCCAAGGGTGGATGGGTGGATGGTGGGGCCAGGGGTGGAGAGAAAATTGGTGAACATATGATTATAATTGATTGTATATATATATATACAGATGTACATATTTAAATATATATACTTTATATAGCATATATATATGAGGTATACGGATGGGTGGTAGCAAATTGAGTTCCACAAAATGACCCGACGGTTTTCGTTTAAAGGGTTTTTCTGGGATCGCCCTGCCATGGGAATTCTGAATTGCCATGTGCCCTCTGGTAATTTAACATAGCTATGGAAAATCACCATGATTAATGGGAAAATCCACTAAAATGGCTATAGTGGATTTTCCCATGAAAAATTGTGATTATGTGACAGTTGACCAGAGGGTAGGTGGGAGCTTGGCAAATCGTTTGTTGAAACAGCGGTAGGTAGGTAAATGAGTAGTAAAGCAGATGATATGAAAATTAAGATGTATGAAGCAGATAAACCAGGAACTCCAAATTCCATGGAATTTACCAAGTATTTTTCTTATGTCAACTGTTGAGCCCGTTTTTTGAGGAACACCACATCTTTGCCACTTGAGGAAGCTGATACAGGTAGATAAAAAGCAGGTAAACCGTCTACAAATGGGTCATGATCCGTGGCTAACCGTTGAATTATCAGAGAGCAAAAGAGATTTCGCACATGGAGGTGTCCAAAAATTGAAAGGTACCCCCAAATCATCCTTAAATCAGACCATTGTTTATCATATGTAGTGAAACAACCATAGTGACTTGGAGATCCCCCATTTCAAGAAACCTCCCATCGGCCCCAGGCGGCTGTGATCACCGGACGTGCAGATCGTTGGGGCCTTGGGGGCCTGTGGCATGGGGTGGTGACCCGTGGCGGAAGCAACGTTGGATTCTCAGGGGGGGGGAATATGGAAACCCAACCTTTTGAAAGCTACGAAAGTTGGATGGAAACATCAAACCCAACTTTTGAAAGTTGCTTGAAGGACAGCACTTCGTGACATGGGGATATTGATGATATTGAAGGATATTGAAGGTGACCCTGCCCATAGGTTGTTCGAAAGGCATTCCATGGTAATATCGGTGCACCCTCATCTGTACGAATATGATAGAACGATCAAAGAAGTTTCATAATTTCGACAATTGATGCTTAACATTGACTAACTGGTTGAGTCTATAAAGTGTGCAGAGGGAGAAAATAATCAATGCCACTAAAGTTTATCTGACAAACATGTTTGTTTGATGATTCTTGCTGAGTAGCTAAGGTCACCTACAGGAAGGCATCTCTCAAAAAGATATAGCCTTCCAGTAAATTCACATATGGAAAATCATCCATTTGTGGACCATTTGTAGACCATGTGTGGAAACCATAGGATTTCCATATGTATATATATATATATGCTATGACATATATATATATATATAATATAGCAGCTATGTCTATTATTTTTTGGTATGTATGTACTAAATCATATCCCAGCATATCCCCATATCCCCACAAAATCTGTGGCTTAATCATGAACTCTTTTTTTGGGGGTTCAATCACCAGTAAATCATTGGTTGCTGGTTTCATTGTTTTATTTTCCATTTCATATATGGGATGTCATCCTTCCCATTGACGAACTCATATTTTTCAAGATGGTTATTGCACCACCAACCAGTAAAGCAATATAAAGCATAGAATTTCATAGATTTCATAGGGTGGTGGATAAAACCATGATAAAACACAGATGTCACCACCAACCAGATCAGTTCTGTTCCAATGATGTTCCTTGCACCATGGAATTAGCCAAGCGGCTCGCGGCTTGGCGGCTGAGGGGTGACTCGCGAAGCTCTGGAGCGGCTGGTTGGTGGTTTCAAAAAATGCATAAACAACTAGACTAGCAGTTGGGGATGGTTTATAGAACCCATAAAAATATATAAACATGGTGATGACTTGGGGGTGGTTTACTATTTTGGGTCTACCAATTTACCACATTAACATGTTCTGGTTATTATGGGTTGGTAAATAATAAATCAATAATAAATGACAATTTTAACCACATTTAAAAAAAAACATCAATGGTAATTTTAACCACAAAAAAATAATAACAAATGGAATTTTAACCACAGTACCTACAATGTGGTGCCCCCCAGTTATAAGTTGGTTTAGATTCGCCCCAGTAACTAGTTCGTTATAAGTACCACAAACCATGGTGAAATTGGAGTTATGTTCACCAACTTAGCTGTCTTGGGGGCCTCACATTGTATAATTACTGGTTGGTGGTTCGGAACATGTTTTTTCCGTATATTGGGAATGTCATCATCCCAACTGACTTTCATATTTTTCAGAGGGATTGAAACCACCAACCAGATTACCATTTCTTATTTTTTTTCGGGACAATACGATGATCGGACGATGATCCCCATCGAATCCTTTTTCGCTCGGTAACCACCTATGGCATTGAAGCAACTGGCAACGGTAACCTCCGAGCCGCCCCAGAGATGGGCATCACTTTGACCACAAAAAAACTGCCATGGCGTTGGGGAAAGCATTCTCCATTTTGGGGATACCCAGTTGAAGGGAACATTCACTGGGTCAACCTTGGTTATTTTTTTTTTTAGTACTTTGATTTTTTTGCTGTCAATGGTAAAATGTACTAACCAGCGAAAACATGTTTTTTGTTTGGGTTTTTGGCAGATACTAAAATAGTATGAAATAGTAGCATCTCATTTTTCAAATCTAGGATTGCTGTAGACTGTTAGAGCTTGCCACATAGATACCTTGACCTCTCGCAGATTGCTGGCACTTGATGTGGAAAACCCCCCAGGAGTGCTGCAAGCGGCCGGGCGCCTATTTGTCGTCGGGCGCCCCCAATGGGATCGGCCTGGCGCGAGTAGATGGTCGATTTTTTGTTGAACATTTGGACTGAGAATACCCTCTGGTAAACATACACAAAACTATGGAAAATCACCATGTTTAATGGGCAAACTCACTATAAATGGCCATTTTCAATAGCTATGTTAGTTTACCAGAGGGTATGTTGGAACATGATGGGAAAATAGTTGCAAACAACCATGTTGTTGGGAATATGTTGGAAACTATGGTTTGAGGAAACTATGGTTTGATCAATGGGAATTCCAGGATCCTAAAATAGAGGTACGTTAAACTACCACATTTTTGGCCATATTTTGGGGGTATATCCCCTGAACAAAGCCCTGAAATTTAGGCCTACCTACCTCCAATTTGGGTTCCTGGGTCCTGGCCATTGGATGCCATGAATTTCTTGGGTGTCCTCGAAAAAATTGTCCTTTGACTTCATTCCTGGTTGGTGGTTTGGAACATTTGTTATTTTCCATTTCATATATCCCATAGGATCCATGGTGCTGGTATATATGCTAACATTGGGGGTATATTGATGGGATCCATTTACCATATATAGCATCATGGATCCTATGGGATATGGGATAATCCTTCCAATTGACTTTCATATTTTTCAAGATGGTTAAAACCACCAACCAGATTCTGCGGAATGGGTGAGACAGTCGGAATGGGATCCACTTTTATTCGGTGACTTGATCTGATGGCAACCGTTTTTCCCCCCAATTTTGATGCCAAAGACTACTGTGCCGTTTGGCACTGACCACTGACAAGGTGGTGCCCCATAGTTAGCTAAGTTGGTTTATAAGTCCAATAGCTAGGGTTTATGAGGGTTATTTTAGAGTATACAAAAACTTATAACTGGGGGGGGTACCACCTTGTAGGATTTAAAGTTCATTGTGATGTAGTCTAAGCTAACTTGCAAGTGGAAAACTAGCAACTACTTTGGACGGGATTGCCGCTGGAAAAGAGCAGAGTGCTTCCCACGCCAAAGTGATCGGTTGCGTGGATGCTTTATCCTTTGGATTTATGTTACTGTTGTGCATGATGTGGTGCCTTGGAAGAATCGGCACAGCGTCTAGTGAATCCACGCAATCCCAGCAATCCCCAATATTAGAACACATTAAATCCACAGATCTGGCCCGCAACAATGAATCGATTCATGAATATATCTAGTCAAACCAGGGGTTTCTATAGGTGGGGTCCTTATTCAAAAGATAGGACATCTGTTTGGTGGCCAGTTTCGAAGAGTGAACCGATTTGTTGCGCTAGGTGGCTGAAGGAGCCTGGGAAGCGCAAGAGGCACAGCATGGCAAGCGCCACTTTTTTGGGGCAGAGGTAACATGAGGCAACCACCAATAGAGGTATGTGTTTAAGTAGCAAAGCTGGGGATCAAATTTATATGCAGTTCTCATGATCAGTCCTTACCTTCTATGCTTTTCCTATTTAAACGTCCATTTATAGTGGATTTGCCGGCCAGCCATTTTTGATCATCGGAGACCAGAGAACAGCTCGCAAAAATGGTGATTAACAACCAGCAGAAGTCAGGATCAATCATTTGGTATTCTTTGGGTAGGTTATAGCAACATCACTTGCCAATCTTAGGATGGTTTACATAGTTTACATACTGCGGAATCATCCACAAAATGTGGCTTTACTCAGGTTCTAAAAGTGGGGTTTGTAGTAACCGGATCTTGGCAGAGACTAACGGTTTTTTGGGCTCCCGTCTTGATGTGATCATCGTGGAATCGACGAAGTGGGGCTGACAGCCGTTGGATGAACCATGGTGGGTCAGCTTTGATTCTCGATGTGGTTTAGCCGCCCGATTCTTGGGACGCACATCCGGGTAAACCAACCCCCTTAAAAATCCATAAAATTTAGCTGAGGACCTGTAGGGGTTGCATATTCAATAGCAGCACCTCTCTTCAAGCGGGTTTGTGTGAATATGGTAATTACCCTTAAGCCTGGTTACTCATCATTTTCCCAATTACCCTCTGGTAAACTAACATAACTATGGAACATCACCATTTTCAATGGGTAAACCCACTATTTCTATGGCCATTTTCAGTATATAATTAGCAAACTGTCACAAATTACCAGAGGGTACATGGCAATTTGGGGGTATATCATCCCTCAATTTCAGACACCCAAAAAAGAGCGAATCCATGCCAATCCCTTCTGAAATTGTGCCCAGGCGAGCACGTTCCGAGGTGCGCAATGTTTTGGACGTGGCATGATTCTTGAACTTGGCGCATCACGGTGGTAGAGTTATCATCTCTGAAGCTAGTTGAAGCACCATGTTTAATAAGCAAATCATTGAAGATCCAATATTTAAAAGTTACATTATATAATTTGTTAAATTATATGTGATAAATATTGTTAATTATATATGTGTACTGTATATACAGTACATTTTTTTTTCATATCCATAGACACCACATTTGCCTGAAAACATGGTTGATTTTCCCACATGGGATGGTCATTTTCCCACACACGTCACCTGACCAGATCCTCATGTTCGGTAGGATTATCCCATTGTATCACCATGGATTCTGATGTTTATCCCTTACCCTCTGGTAATGTCAAAATAGCTATTGAAAATGGCCATAGAAATAGTTGATGTTCCCATTAAACATGGTGATTTTCCATAATTATGATTCTGATTTTTTTCCTTACATATTCTCATCGGTTGGTGCCCCATTTAAAAGTTGGTTTATAAACAGCTTAACAATAAGATATATCACGGTTCAAAATGGCAGTTATTCAAACTACAAACTGACCGATCTTGGCCCCACGGCCCCGCCCTGTATGGTTTGACCATGACACAGCGGCATGCTGCTGGCAGCTGGCTCTGCAGTCCTGGCGCCAGGCTCACTCTGAGGCTCCGAAAGCGAAAGCCCAGCGCTGAGGCTCCGCTGACCGCGTGTGAGACATCGGCAGCGTCCCCGTCCGCTCCCAACTGCAACTAGTGTATACTAGTGCTGATTATGGCATTATCCACTGGATGGTTGCAGTTGTTTGCCCTTCTTGGTATTATTTGTTGGGACTATGTGAGTAGTGGTAGCCTTTTTCGCTGCTTTGCTTTGGTCCATCCGCCCTAATTCCTGGCGGAATTGGTTGAAAATCCATGTTGATGTTGAAGGCACCGATGGCTCACCAGCAGCCAGAGCCAAGTGGTGGGAGATCATATGACCTGCAAAGAAAAGGAGATGCAGAGCTGGCCCATCTAGGTACCAACTGATTTGTCACCATGCACAATGTGACACGGTTTAGAGGTAGCTGACCAACTACATCCAGGCTTTATGGCAGATGCAATCATGAACTATACCTGATTTTGCCATGTGGAGGAGCTGTATGAACCTTTTGAAAAAACATACATAGACATTAAGTTTTAGTTGCCGTGTTTGCATTTAGTTTACCGCTTTTGTGGTCCTGCACCAGAAATCCCATCATCAGTTGTGGTCCGCCCCTTGGATATGATGAAAGTTGACCCTCCTTGCAGTGATGAAACTTGAAACGGGACCCGGGCAGATTGGCATAGATTGGCAACCTGCCCCCAACAATACTTAAAATGTATGCAGCGAAATGTACTGCATACAGATATCAATGGGAATTCCAGGATCCTAAAATGGAGGTACTGTACCATATAAGGCCATTATTTTGGTGGTATATCCCCTTACATAGCCCTTACATAGGCCTTATATATGGTAGGTACCTCCAATTTGGGTTCCTGGAATGGCAATTGAAGATATACAGTGTATACATTTCGATCCTTCAATTGGGAGTTCCCTTTTCGAATTGATCCGAGCCACCCCACCTACCTTGCGTTTTTGGCAAGGTCTGGGCATGGTATGTTTTGCAGAAAGACGAGTGACATATGTGACATGCACAGCCACTGCAATGGCAAAGGAGACATGGCAGCCATGCCAAACCAAATGGATCCCAAGCTCCTATAGGGTTGGGTTGGTTGGTGGAATGTCCAAAGATTTCTGTGGTGAGTAGGGGTTACCCATCCCAACATAGCCTTAGAAATCAGGGTGCTTCTGCTGGAGGGCCGTGAAGGTTGTGAGCCTTATTTCAGGTTAGTGAAGTACACAAATTTATAAAAAAAACATATTTGGTTCTTAAGTAGTTTTATAAGTGTTATATAAATTTATATAATAGTTAGTCGGCAGTGACAGATGGCACTTGCTTGTGAACTAGCCATTCCGAGCCGTTTGCAGAGTTCTTGGTGGATGGGCTGTTGTTGATGGGGATAAGGTAGGCCATGTGCAAGTTATGATGCTCTTCAGAGAGGGCCTTCCCAGTGTTGGTTTCGTGTAAGACGCTTCCAAGAGGCATGGCTTGGCAAATCAAACCTCCTTTTTCAACATTCCGGCTGATAAAGCCCATTGTCTTCCTGTTTCCTGTGGCAATCAACCCCAAAAGGAGGTTTCCTATGGATATGGGGCTCATTCTTAGGCCCCATACTCGGGGGAGGGCAACCTTCAACTGATACTTGGACGATTCTTCGGCTCTCAAGGCACATTCGCCAAGCCACATGGCCATGCTGCGGAAGATAGGACATTTTAAATGTTCCCTTCATCAGGTGAATATATTTATATTATGTAAATATGTATATATATATATATATGTATGTATACATATATATGTGTGTGTGTGCGTTTCTTTCCCAGAGAACCTGACCTCAGGTCAGGGAGACATCAAGCTACATTGCATTTTCGAAGATGACTGGAGCAGAACTAGCCATTGGTGGGTTCCATGTCGATACACCAAATTTTTCCATGGCAACTTGGAATATTTGTCTTATCATTGGGGCTGCTGCAGAAAAGCATGCCCTCGACCCCCTTGTGCCGCCATGATCGAGATTAGCGCTTGATTTGCGGCACACTGTGACGCATGGCATGGCGATACCTTCTATGCCCCTTGGCTATGCTACTGTGGTTCTTCCACCGAAGAATCCCCCCATTGTGAATTTGATTTGCTATGTCATACCCCTTTGCCACATGCCATAGATGTCCTTTTCCTACTGGTTGGTTGATTACTAGAGGGGTTAACCCCCTTTACAACCAATGGAAAGTCCAATGGAAAGTGATGATAAAGGGTGTGCCAGACCAATGTATTGGAGGGCATTCCAACTTCAGACCATGAATCCTCTCGACAGAAATCCGCGTGAAGCTTCCCTAGGCTTCACAGCCTTGGTCGAAGGTCTTGAACTGGCGCAGTACTACAGCACCTTGGTGGTGGTGGGGGGCTGGACACTGTCCGAAATTGGGGGGAACAGCTGGCGAATTGAGTGGGTCAACCATGACAAATTGGATCTGTTAATCATAAAAAAAGGAACTTCAGCATCAAACATGGGGTTAAACATCAAACTTCACTACAGGCCAGTTTTTGGGCAACGACCCATTAGCAGGTCTCCGAAATGTGGTACTGTGCCATATGTTCTGTATATCATTCCATGTCCTTAAATTTATATCTTCAACCGGATGTATTTGCAACTTGACCTCCAATTGAGGTACTTGAAACATCATGAAATATCTGCGGGTTCTTCGGGGTGCAGTTGGGGCTATCTTAGTTTGTTTTTCTAACCCTGGCGTAATGACCACATGAGGTTGGGATTACCCCTGACTATTGCTACTGCTACATATCTATAATATATATATATATATATGGAATTATATGAACAATGTAATTTTCCATATATATATATATATATTTGTATGTACAGTACTTCATGAAGTACACTTATATATTCTGCTTGGAACTTTTTTTTTCTCCGAACTGCCCCATGTCCCTCCTAACTTCTCAAGGTAGCAGTGGCTTTAGTTGCCCTTTAGCGGGCAGTGGCGAAGATTCAGATGCCACCGTGTGGGGCGCCGCCCCGCTTTTTTGGGGTGGTTGGGACTGGCGGTCAGCTGGGAAGGTACGAGCTGCTCCCTCGGTGGTTCACCCTACAAAATGCAAGTAGGTCACAACCTTCAACAAGCCGGATTCCATTGTAATGGATTGTTCCCTTGCCGAGGTGCGGAAGATACGAACCACTCTGCTATTTCTTGTCATTGGTACCTACGAACAGCTACGGATACAGAGGACTTGACCCCTCACATTTATTATTTGCGATTGATAAATTTCAGACACTCAAGTTCAATGACACCAACTTGTAATATCGACATGTGTAGCAACAACAAACAAGCATCGCTGTAGGGAACGGGTCCAACAACACGGCCCGACTGAACAGATCATTTTACCTAGACCTTCCACCTATAAAAATTGTGTAAAGTTACCCCATAACTAATTTAATCTCAGGACTTCCAACATGTTTCTGGTTGGTGCTTTGGAACATGTTTTATGACTTTCCATCATATTGGGAATGTCATCATCCCAAATAATAATCCCAACTGACGACAGTCCATCATTTTTTCAGAGGGGTAGGTCAACCACCAACCAGTGATAATCTGATACTTAACTGGTACCCACCCAATTCAACAAGTGTTTGGGGTTTATTAATGGGTTTATAAATGGGTTGACCGTACTACTATACAATCCCAACCACCAACCGGGCTTTTTGGGGGAGTTACTTGGAGGGTCCAGGTACACCACGTGGGAAGTGTCACCTCTTCGTCGCAGGGAAGTGTCACAGCAGTGGCCCACGGGGGAGGAGATCGTGCCCCGATGTTTGCTGCAAGAGGATGCCGTCGACTCGACGGCAGCTGAGATGAGAAGTGAGTGATAAGATGGTGATTTTACTGGGAAGATGGTGATTTAATGAGTGATTTAATGGGAATATCATCGATTTAGTAGGGGATATTATGGATTTAGTAGGGAAAATGACATGCCTAGCTGGGAAATCTCCGAATTAAATGGATGTTTTTTATGGGAAATCATCCATGAATTGGGATTTTCCATTGCCAGATTGCCGGAGGATGGGGATTTATCTCGGGAAATGGTGACTCAATGAGGGAAAATGTTTTTTTTTCAATGGGATTTATCTACCTGACTAATATGATCCATGTGCCATACGGAAAGTTGCGCTTTTGGATGGTTTTATATCATATGTGTTTAACCAACGTTAAAAAAAATTGAGTTTTATGGTTCTGGATATCTATGTGCCATGATCAAAAGTTGGATTGTATATATTGGAAAAGGCGATGTTATTGATGGTATGATCCATAGGATCCATGTATGCTATATATGGTAGCATTTACCATCAATATACCCCAAATGTTAGCATATATACTATACATGGTTCCTATGGTTGATGGGATGCTGGATATCATGACATCACCAATTACAATCAAATGCTTGGCGAGACTAAACCCCTGGTGGAGATCATCAATCCATCACAGTAGGAAGTGTTACCCTCTGGTTATTTAACATAGCCATGGAAAATGGCCCATTTATAGATAGTTTACCTATGAAAAATGGTGATTTTCCATGGCTACTTTAAATAACCAGAGGGTAGTATCCGTGATGTTTGCATTCCCATAGGGGGATTGATAGGCCCGAGAGGTTGCCAGCAACCAGAAAGACAGTTTTAGATTTAGATATTCTCGATCCCCACATCTCTTCCCTGTCCCCATGGCGGAATCGGCGAAACGTCTACTTGATCTACAACCAGTCCGAGAAGATGAGAGGAGATCCCCGGATCACAAGAAGTCCAAACAAGAAAAGAAAGAAGAGAAAAGACGAGAAAAAAAGGAAAAGAAGGCAGAGAAGAAAGCCGCGAAGAATGGAAGACGAGAGGAACAGGCAAAGCATTGGCGAGAACAAATTGCCAACACACCACATCGGCCATACACAGACCCCTCGGAGGAAACAATCACCCCCCCGAGACGAGACACCCTGAAGGCATACAGCAGTGCACGACCTTCAGCATCCCGCAGCAAGGAAGCAATGACAGCAGACACAGAAGAACGTATCAGCACAGCTGAAAAAGATATCAACCAACTCTTAGACGACACCGGCA